AGTTAGCACACAGCTTCAGTCGCTAAAGCTAGTAACCACTGATCAGGCCCGAAATGTAGGTGTAGTACTGGATTCAGACATGAACCTCCAAAAACATTTAAAGACAATTACAAGGTCGTCTTTCTATCACCTGAAGAACATTTCCAGGATTAAAGGACTAATGTCTCAGCATGATCTGGAAAAACTAATCCATGCGTTTATTTTTAGTTGAATTGATTACTGCACCGGTGTTTTCACAGGTCTGCCTAAAAAGTGGATCAGACAGCTGCAGCTGATCCAGAACGCTGCTGCCCGTGTCCTCACTAAGACTAAAAAAGTAGAGCACATCACCCCAGTTCTAAAGTCCTTACAATGGCTCCCTGTATCTCAGAGAATAGAGTTTAAAATACTTATGTTAGTCTATAAATCTTTGAATGGCTTAGCACCTAAATACATCACAGACTTGCTATCAGTGTATCAACCCTCCAGAGAACATGGAGAAGCAGCATTTAGTTCCTATGCTCCACTTATCTGGAACAAACTTCCAGAAAACTGTAAAAGTGCGAAAAGCCTGAGTTCCTTTAAATCAAGACTAAAAACACATTTGCTTAGGATTGCCTTCGATTGTTCTAGTTAAACAGTTCAACTAAAACATCATTAGTTAAACTTTTTTATTTTCTTTATTTATGTTTTTGCTTGTGATTTCGAACCATTTATGACAATTATTTCTTTATAAAAAAAAACACATCAGTTTTTAAAATAGAAACAATTTTTAGACTCAAACAACAACAAAAAAAGAAATTGTTTAATTTACCTGCAGTTCCTGGCAAGACTGAGCGGTTTCTGGATCATCATAAGCTGGAGGAGGAGTGGAGGGAGGTTTCTCAATCATGAAGGATTTCTCATCGTCACAGTCGGAAGTGTTTGATGACTCTTTAGAATCCATGGATTTTACAGAGTTCACCATGTCAGAAATCTAAGTTTTGCATCAAAAGATGCTCCTTTCTCTTCTCAATTATCACCCTCTGTGTCCTTTACACACTTCTTCCTGAAGTTAATGATAAAAACAAGGAGCTATAAAAATAATAACCCACCAAGCTTATCAAAGGGAAAATCCCAAGCAACATATTTATAATGTTTGTGTCGTTCTTAGCTGTAACTCATTAACCCATATAGAACCATTGAGAAAAAATAAAATAAAAATGAAAGCCAGCTTAATGCACACACAAAAGACTTCCTCCTTTTGGTAACTATAACTCTCCTGAGTTTTTTTTTTAGCAATAAATATTTTATTGATATACCATTTAATCCTTTATCAAAATACGGTAACTATATTTATTATCAGTTTTAATATCACATAATATTGCCTAATGTTTGAACAGAAGGGGTTAAGCATTATTTTGCTTTTCCGCTTCAACTTAAGCCTTAATTCCAAACTGGTTTCTATTATTCTATTTAAGAGCTTCAGCATAATCAAGTTACACAAGTGTTTTTTTATTGCAAGAAAATAGCTTTCTAACTGTGCTCATAAATATTATTATAATTTATGTTTCATGCTATTATGTGTGATTGAGTGTGTTATGGGAACGACAGTTCCCTTGAATTAATTAAATTACTAGAATTGGGATATTAAAAGTGATCTATTAACAAGGCTTGTTCACTCGTTCATTCAGTCTACATAACTAAAGCTTTGCTCTTACTGTAAAAATAGGGAACAATCACAGCTTCGGTCACTTTAATGGCATTTTAACAGTTAAAACAGGCCATAAAGTTCAGATGAACTCTAGCTTCTTATCATGTTTTAAAGTTCTGGGAACTAGCAGTGAGTTGGTTCAGATGACAAAAGGAAAAATAGGACTCCATTATGACTTTTAGATAAAAATCTATATGACTTATGAGAAGGATGCATTACCAGATTAGGCCTGAAAAAAAAAAAAACGCCTTTACTATCTAAAGGTTCAGGTTCAAGGTTCAAGAGTCTCTATTATGGCCTGCAATTTGTCATGCAACAGGAGCACAAATACATCCACACAACACACAGATAGAAAACATTAAGTCAAATACTACAGTGACTAACTAAGAATTGTTATAGCAACGGGAATAAAAAAGTTCTTCTGTCTATTTGTCCTGTTCTTATGGACAGTGTATATTGACCAGATGGGAGTGGTTTGAACTTTCATTACATTAGTCTATTATCACACCTCAACAGTCTCAGTATGGATTACAAACTGCATGAATCAGGGCATGACACCACAACACAGCCTGACAGCGTTAACAAATCAGTGCCTGCTTCTTGCATTAGGCAAGTAAAGAAAATGTCAACTCAAGCGGTTACTTAAATCATCAAATTGTTGGCCCTAGATCCAGTTCCTTCACCTTTTATGACCTGAGTGAAGTTGCCCCCCCCCCACCTTCTTCAATTCAGACAAAATTAGTGTCAAACATTTGTGCTACGTTTGTGCTGGTTTGTGCAGCAAAAGTTTTCGTTTGTGCCGCTAAGATATAAAGAAATATTTCTAGAGGTCATCAAAGGTCAACCAGGTCATCAAAGGTCAATGGGTGTCAATTAACTCAGCTCCGTTTGTGCTGTTTTGTGCAGCAAAAAATTGTCGTTTGTGCTGCTTTGGCCTTGAAGACATTACTGAAAATGTAAAGGTCAAAAGGTCAACCAGCCCCCCCACCTTCTTCAAATTAGACAAAATTGGTGTCAAACGTTTGTGCTACGTTTGTGCTGGTTTATGCAGCAAAAATTTTCGTTTGTGCAGCTACCATTTTAAAGATATAAAGAGATGTTTCTAGAGGTCATCAAAGGTCAACTAGCCCCCCCACTTTCTTCAAATTAGACAAAATTGGTGTCAAACATTTGTGCTACGTTTGTGCTGGTTTGTGCAGCAAAAGTTTTCATTTTGTGTTGCTTTGGGTTTGAAGACATTAATGAAAATGTAAAGGTCAAAAGGTCAGTTTGAGTGAAGGTTTAGAGAGGTTTTTAGAAGCTTAGGCAGTTTCTTGCATATTTGATATCCAAAAGATGGCAACAGAAGCAAAAAATCCAAAATAACAAAAACACAGAAAAAGTGTGTCTAGTTTCCAAAAAACACTTCTTAAACAAGTCTTTTACTGGTACTGCTTTAGGTTTTATGACTGCACTAAACCTAGTAGAGGCTGCCACCTAGTGACCTTTGAATATATCTTCTCCATGTATTTTTGATTTTTCTTGCATATTAAATTTTACTATATATATATATATATATATATATATATATATATATATATATATATTTTAGTAAAAAGCAAAACATATCCAAATGGAATCTGAGAATATTCATTATTTCTCCATAGTTCAGTCCTCGTTTTGTCCAGCTGCTTAATTCATATAATTGACACTCTTTGTCTCCAGTCCATTTCATTGAAAGCACAATGAATCTGGTGGGCGGGTGGAGTTGAAAATGGGATTCATGCAACTGCCGCTCCATAGAGCTGTGATTATGGGGCGTGTTTTGAACGAACCAGGAAACAAAATGCCTCTGCACTCAATTGGACAGACGTACAACCAATAAGAGCAACGGAGTGCGTGACGTATGTTAAGCAACGCATAGTTGTTGTCAACAAAAATCAAAGCGTGCAGTTTCACGCCTAGAATAAGAAGATGAGCCTTGATCGCGTTTCTCTATTCCTCTTTTAAAATTAAATTGCTGTCGATATCTTCTAGAACAGACCTAATAGCAGAATCTACTCACCTCAACTCTTCGGCGGCAGCCATTGTTGTTGTCACCCAAGCGCGCTTTGGTCACATGGTTGATTACGTTACTGTTGATCATCTGTCCATCATAGTATAAAGCCCGCCCTGACAATTTGATTGGATCGCCTGACAGTGGGCGATAATACTCGCGCTACTATGGAGCAGAGCCAGACCGAACTTCCCGACCTCAAACCTTGTGGGCGGGACTAAGTTCGGAATGGCACCCAGGCTAATTTTCATTCATTTCAGACGGAACTATTCACAGACTTGTATTATATTAAACTGAACTTCCAATTTCACCACTGTTCGACGCCAAGTAACCTTTCCTCTCATCACGGAGCAAATCACGACTTGCTTGGTCTCGCAATGAATCCTGGGTAAACCAAGGATACATCTGACCCGTCCTTCAAATCGGGCAAAAAGGACGCATTTTAAGGCCGCATAACGAGAACTCTTGGAATCCGATCAGACCTCGGCGCCGCGCTATGATGTAATCGTCCTTCGAATCTGGCCTTCTAAGCACGCGTCCTAGGTTTTCGAACAGAGCAATGGAGTCCATTTCAACCCTGAAGGTAGTTTGCCCTCTTTTATCACATGAGCACCACCTATTGGAGATATTGGTTGATACTGAGAGAAATTGCAAATGTATTTTTCTTGCATCTTTATTCAGTGTATTTTATTTCTAAATGTTCATTTTCGTTATGTTTAAATACTGATTTCCTTTTTTTTTGTTTTACTGATTGAAATTATTTCTTAAAGGAAAACCGGTATCCCAAACTTAGTAAGGTTTAAAATCTTTTCCACAAATATTATTTTTCTATTTAAGTTTTTAAATTATAAATATTTCCTTGTACTTTATGTTATGTGTGTCAGTGTTTGTTTATTAATGAAAACACCTCTCTAATTTGTGATTGTAGGGAGTTACTAATCATCTTTTTGAGCCTCTGTTCTGAAGTGTTTTCTGACCCACATTAATTTGTGAATATCAGGCATTAATATACAGAAACAACGCTGCTCTTACTCGCTTTTGCTGTTGTACCAATCTCTGCTTCCATCTGGAGGCTTTCTTGAATTTCTTTTGTTTTTAGAAATTCATCAGCCGCTGTATTTCCTTTAAACTCTACTTTATGTGTCCTTTCAGTCAATATTTCTAATAAAGTAAACCGATAAATGTCTACCTCACCTTAGACTTAGTCCACTTAAGGACCCATCTCCAAAAATTTGTCTGACATTAAAAAATACATGTTCCATTTATCTTAAATAATGAATCTGGAGAGAGATGTTTAGGTTTTTTTCAAACTTTATTTTGTCTTCTCTTTATTCTTAAGCAGAGTTACAGTAGGACTGCCCCTCGGGTTCCTCCTTCCACTGGTGAGGAAGCTTTAAATCACACTAACAGTGAGATGGATACAGTAGTTATAGTATTCAGCCATAATGGCACATCTAAATTTCGCAGTGGAGGGGGGCACACACAGACACAAATACTTTCACCAAACTGATGCCTCGTCATTAAAGGAAAACACAGATGAACTCAAAACACTCAAATACACATCTGCTGCTGCCTACAAGTATGTAGTAGAGCTAAGGGCTTTGGAACTGCAATGACGTGGCTATGGGTGGGGCTTCTGTGTAAAAGAGAAGGGAGGGGTATATGATGGTTAACGGTGGTCCCTTTCCTCACTGTCTCTTAGGACAGGAAGTGTCTACTCCTTGGAGTGCATGTAGAGCAGCAGGTCAGCAACACGGTTGCTGTAGCCGTACTCGTTGTCATACCTGGAAGGAAGCAAAAAGACATTTTTAGCCGTTTTCAGATAAGATTGGTTTTCAGGGTGTGAAAATGAATTCTGGGTAACAGAAGTTGCCCTTAGTAAATCTGTACATACAACATCCAGAATTAAATGTATTAGTTGAAAAATATTTTTCACTGAATTCAAACTCTATTTAAAAATGTGAAACTAAATTAATTTGCCTTAAATTGTATTTTATTGTTACCTAATTCCACTTTTAGTTTTAACAAAATATGAATTTTAGATTTTTGAGAAAGACCTGATCAATCGAACCAAGATCGCACAGATCATTTAAAATGACCTGCAACAAAACTCCTAGGTTTGTATTAAACTAACTGCATCCATAGCAAGTGTAAACAAATGACAGGTTTACTGTAACAGCTGTGCATGATACTGTTAGCTTTAGAAACTAGATTAGCACAGTGTGAAAAAGGCCTGGCATCATCAGTGTTCGCTTTCTGGCTCTCTACCTAAGGAGCCTGTGTTCATCTGGGTCCCAGTGTCATTAACATGTATTACTGGATAGGACAACCTCTACTGGCCATTAAGGACAGTGGCATGCAGGTACATTTGCTGCTAGTCATTTGTAACAATGCGAGTCTGTGTTCGCTTACTCTGGTCTTTCTTAAGGGCCCAGATGTGGCCAAACTGAAAATCTTCTTTGCAATAAAATGCAGTTTATAAACAAATAAATACAAACCATTAAATAAAGTTTCTACTCCGTTTTACTTTAATAAATAGTTTCAATTGAGAGAACACCCCTTTCAAATCAGGACATATAATTTCCAATGTTGCATATACAGGTTCACTTTGGGCATTTCAAATCTAGTCTCTGACGGCAGCTTCCGCCTGTAGAAATGTTCTTGTTATAAATATGGGGGATATTTTTAAACTTACCAGGAAATGAGTTTGACAAAGTTGTCGTTGAGGGAGATGCCGGCGCCGGCGTCGAAGATGGAGGAGTGGGTGTCGCCAATGAAGTCGGAGGACACCACCTGGAAAAGCCAAAACTCACTGGTTAATAAGACGTCTGGTTTTCAGAGCTGCTGAGACAGCTGAAGGTTCTGTGACGTACCTGGTCTTCAGTGTAACCCAGCACGCCCTTCATGGGCCCGTGCGCCGCCTTCTTCACGGCCTCCTTGATCTCGGCGTAGGATGCAGACTTGGACAGGCGGCAGGTCAGGTCTACCACAGACACGTCGGCCACTGGCACCCTGAACGCCATTCCTGTCAGCTTGCTAGATAAACACACATGAAGAAATATTAGACGTGCTGCTGAATACCTCAGACTTTCTGACTCGTCCAGCAGAGGGGACCCATGTACCCGTTAAGCTCAGGAATGACTTTGCCCACTGCCTTAGCAGCACCGGTGGAAGCTGGAATGATGTTCTGGTGGGCGCCACGGCCATCGCGCCAGGCCTTGGAGCTGGGGCCGTCCACTGTCTTCTGGGTGGCTGTGTATGCGTGGACTGTGGTCTGCAGAGGGCAACATGGTTACATGGTGTGAAACATGCAAACAGAAAACTGCTAAACACATGCAAACGCAGTGTAATATATCAGAGTTTAGTCCTTACCATGAGAGCCTCCTCAATGCCAAAGTTGTCATGGATGACTTTGGCCAGAGGAGCCAGGCAGTTGGTGGTACAGGAGGCGTTACTGAGAGGAAAAAGGAAAACATGTCACTCAGCAAGGCTTTGAAGATGCTGCAGGTTGATACTAATATAAACTGGACATTACCTGACGATGGTCATGGAGGACGGGTCGTATTTGTCCTCGTTCACTCCCATGACGAACATGGGGGCATCAGGCGAGGGGGCGGACACAACCACGCGCTTTGCGCCCCCCTGGATGTGGAACTGTGTTGGAATCAAAGTAAAACAGCATATTAGAAAGGCTATTATCCCAGAAACGGTGGGTTATTCTTTAAAAGCTCATTTCACTGTGTGTCCGTACGTTGGCCTTCTCCAAACTGAGGAAAACTCCAGTGGACTCTACAACGTAAAGGGCTCCAGCGCTGCCCCAGGGGATCTCAGCAGGCTTCATACTGGGTCAAACAAGCAGAAAGGAGATGGTTAAAAACTAAACCTGCACTATAGTCTAGCCTTCAGATCCTTGGTGGGTTGTGAAGCAAGAATGTCTTGTCTACATCCATCCTTTGGCCAGTTTTCCCATCATCAGACATGAGACTGTGCAGAACAAAGAGCTAAAGCAACAGCTGCCACAGACAGTGGAGCAGAAGGCTTCACTCCAACGCTAGGAATTCACACGTACACATCAAAGTAACAAAAACTGCTCTAAAAAACACAAACCAGCTGCAGAATCACCCTGAAGGCAGCCAGGGGCAATTTAAAGTTCCTTAAATGAATTTGTACAGCAGAAATTAGTTTACTTTTCCATTTTAATAAAAAAAAAAAGAAAAAAGAGAGATTTCTTGCATTGAGTAAAATAAAGTTCAACGCTTTAGTTTCTACTAGGCTGAAGATTTAGCTGCAGACATAATGTTTCCTGTGGAACATTCATAAAGATTTACCTACCACTGGAAAACAGAGATGGGGTTGCCATCAACGATGAGCTTGCCGCCATCATGGGAGACCTCGCCATGGTAACGGCCGTGGGTGGAGTCATACTTGAACATGTAGACCTACAAGTGAATGGTAATAAATGCAGAGTCAATGTGAGAGGACCCTCGCAGAATGTTTATCTGCTTTTCAGAAAAAAAAAAAAAAAACTTTACATGAAACTAGAGCTAACAGAGAATTATTGAAATAAATATATATAATAAATAAATAAGTCCTACTATGTAATTTTAAGTGGATTAACTAATTAAAGTCTATTTACAGATAATAATAAAGTGTATCTATTTTATTAGTTCACTCATGCAAACCGCATTAAAGATAAAGAGAACAAATATGAATATTAAGTTCAGGAATTAATAAATGGTGCAATTACATTAATTACGTACTTTCTATTTAATGTGATCTGAGAAAAATTGAACCAATTTAACATATCTAAACCACAGGGCAGGACATGTAAATAAAATTGTCTCACAAAGTTTCCATGCAAATGGAATAAATTCAAGGGTTTTACTACCGTATTTTCACGACCATAAGGCGCACCGTACTAAAAGGCGCACTCTCAGTTATGTGTCCCATTTCTGTATTTAACACACACATAAGGCGCACCGGACTATAGGGCGCGTTTTTTATATACAGGTACATGTCCTCTACTACCTTTAAATACCTCTACTGCATATTTAAAAATACAGCGGGGGCAAAACTGAGTATGACTGTGCTTTATTCATGTATTTATTAAAAAGTATTAATCAAACCTGGCAGCTGGCCGCGAGACAGACACATCGCAGATGACACAGCGCTGTGGTCACTCCTAAATTAACTTAAAATCCTGAAACCTGCCGACGGAATATGTTCGCTTTTATGGGTGCCTGCAGTTTAAATTATTTAGATGAAAAACACCTGCCAGCCGCCGCGGTGAACCCGGAGGCTGCCCAGCCTAGAGGCTGCTGATGAAGAGATTTCTCCTGTCGGCGCACCGCTGGTATGTGGGGGTCTGAGCGCCTCCGACAGAAATAGATAATCTGGATGAACTGACTGCAACTATTAAGTTTTCAGGTGGACTTTCTCACTTAAAAACATATTAGAACTACTTTATTCCCCCTGATCACAGCAAATATAGCTGCAAGATTTAGATTATTTAGATGAAAAAACACCTGCCAGCCACCGCGCTGAAGAGGAGGAGACCCGCCCAGAGGCTGCTGTTGAATTAAGTTTTCAGGTAGAAAAATAGAGCGGGAGCAAAACTGAGTATGATTGTGCTTTATTCGTGTATTTATTACAAAGTATTAATCGAACCCATCAAATTTATCATCCTCTGTTTCTGAATTAAACAGCTGCGCTAAATCCGACATGCCAATTTCCCCTTCTTCGCTGTCAGTCACTTTCCGTGCAGCGCAGCTCCTCAGAAATAATGCCGGCTTTTGCAAAAGCTTGAACAACAGAGCCAGCAGACACGTTAGTCCATCAACAATCCATCCGCAAGCGGTGGCGTAACTCGCCCGGCGCTGCCTTCCACTTATCGTGAAACTGTGGTCTCCGTCTATCATCCATCGCTCCCACGCCGCTCGCAGCCTTACTTTGAACGGCCGGTTCACACCGATGTCGAGCGGTTGAAGCTCCTTTGTCAGACCCCCCGGGATAACGGCGAGCACGGCGTCCATTTGATTCACCTTTTTTTTCACATCGGCTGTGAGATGGGCACGCAGCGATGGTGATGCGTGGAAAAAACCACCTGGTCTCCTCACATAGGCTACACCTCCCTCAGCTACGCTTTCATCATCTCCTCATCCATCCAGCCTTTTCCATTTGCGTTAATATCATATGTCATCAGAGCGATGTGTCTGTCTCGCTGTCAGCTCCCAGATCAGCTTCTCTGATTGGTTGATGCGGCGCGTCCAGCAGCAAAACTTCAATTTTTCCATCTCGAGCAGCAGCAGCGCGTTGGCAGATGCTTAAACGCTCCTGCTGCTCAAAACGCGCTGCAGGACCTTTTGCTGCACCTATACGCGCGTCAACCATTTACTTTGCATGTAAACTCGCTGCTTCTGCTGCACTTGCTGGGTCCGGTTCACACCGATGTCGAGCGGTTGAACAGCGAGCACAGGGTTAATTTGTTTCCCCATGTTTTTCACATCAGCTGTGAGATGGGCACGCATGGAGTAACATATTAACAGCGATGGTGATGAGTGGAAAAAAAAACACCTGGTCTCCTTACATTCAGCCACTCTTTCATCATCTCCTCAATGAGGTGGTCTCAAAAGTCGCAGTTACAACACACATAAGGCGCACCGCACCAAAGGGCGCACCGCACATTTTGAAGGGGAAAAAAGACGTTTAAGTGCGCCTTATAGTCGTGAAAATACGGTAATTGATATTGTTCCAGTCCAAGGAATTTTTTTTAAACCCAGTTCCACTTCAGCTACATATTTGCACAAATAAATCGATATGTATGAGCTTACATATAAACGTACACATTGATCTAAACACAAACACTTGAAGCCCAGATACACATAGGCAGTGTGTTATATGTGTTTATATTAGACAAATAAATAACAGCTTAGACACCCTGCACCTTTCTTCCATCTTTTATCAGTTAGAGCTTTCCTTTAATCTCATTTTTAGCAATACTAAGTGAACACCTACCCATTATCAACAGTATTGATAACAACAATACGACTCCTAATGATAAGGTCACATATATGTTTACTAAATACAAATATTATCAACAAGAAACAAACAGATCTTAGTCTGATTTAACTTCAGCTAATTGAGATTTTGTACTTTAATGCTTCAACTGGATAATTTTACTTAATCTGAATGCAAAGTTTTAGCAGTTGTGTTGTGGTTTATTTACAGATTTAGTTTAATTTTTGTTTTAATGATCGACTTTGCTCAGACTAACATAATCTATTTACAAAGCTGATCAAAATTAATTAAATAATCTTAGAAGCTTACTTCACGTCTCCAGTTTGCAAAACTTTGCAGGAAGCTTATGCCACTCACAAGATGGAGGATGAAGCTCTTCTACACTTATGTTTCTTTTTACTTCAGCTAATAAAAAATTGGGGAAAGATTCCAATTGAGATTAATTGATTCCAGTTTTTCAAACTGGTGAAAAAGTTTTCAATCAGACAATGAATTGTGGTGTTATTCTTCTTGGATCAGCTTGATATATAATCCCTCCATATCTCTGATTTCACCAAAAAAAGAATTAGAATTAGATGCTGTAACTAATTAAGGAGGCAGCTTTCTGACCATGTACTGCAGGTCAATGAAGGGGTCGTTGATGGCGACGACTTTGATGCCTTTCTGGAGGCATGCCCTCAGGACCAGACGGCCGATGCGACCGAAGCTGCAGAAAGGGAGAGAAAGTGATTTTAACAGCTGCTAAGTAATTTTCTGAAGGAAATCAGGAAGGAAGATTTGTGTTTTATACCGAAAGACTTATTTTTTTTATCCTTACAAACAATAAATCAAAGGTTTCATTAGCTAAATTTGCATCACACTTTGTGAAAACCTAACATTTGAATCCAGAAATACTTGTTGTTGTTGGTGTAAAAATCAAAGAACCTTCCTAAGTAGTGTCAGAGGGCACCAATTCATGCATAGCTTTAAGAAGAGAAAATAAAAACAGTTGAAAATGACCATAGTGTTTATAAAACATGAGGCTTGAACTCACCCATTGATTCCAACACAAAGGTCTGACATGGTTGCTGTTGCTTAGGGGGTTTGGAGTTACCTGCAAGACAAAAGAAACGGCAGTGAGAATCGACAGACACCTGACAATTTAGGTAAACTGACCCCTGCTGGAAAACGTCACCATTTTAGCAGCACTCTGAGTTTCAACAGCGAATATTAGAGGTGACAAAACAAACAGGGCGATAGGTGAGGGCTTTGAGAACGGTTAACTTAAACCAGGTCAGAGATCTGGTCGGACTGGAAAGTCGTGTTGCTATAAACCAGCAATCACTGCTTTTTACAACAGACCATGAAAAATTCACCAAGTCTGAGTAATACTGTTAAAATATAAAAGAAATTAACACTTAGAGAAAATAACAAGTACAACCATATTATAACCCAGGTACTGGGGCTGGAAAAACGTAAAGGTTAATGTCAATAGAGGAGCGTTCAAACATACAGGCGATTAAATTTTATATTTCCCAGGCGTGTAAACTTGGGTCTGGAGGTTCTGCTCCATGCAGGGACATGTTTAGGAAACAAAGCATCCAGAAGGCCGGGAGAAAGCGACTGGTATGTAACGCAGCAGGGAGACGTGTCCTCCAACTCAGCAGAGAGGAGCGTCTGGCTCTGCAACAACTATTTGACCTCATTTTCTCTCTGCTTCTCCTCACTGTTTTATGTGGCGCTTGTACCTTAGGATGAATCCTGTGTCTTTCTACCCCAAACGCCTCAACACTCTAAGGACTCAGATTGGGTCTTTAAACACCAACTTCATGTGATTAAAACATGGAGCATGTTAGATTCATCACATATAATAATGAAAATAATCAACAAAAGAGGCACTTATTGCTCAAGTTTAAGGACAGTTATGTCCCTAAAAAAATCTGACTGGTGCGTCTGTGGGAGAAAACCATACTTGTTTACAAAATGCTGCTGATAAAATGTGTCTTCAACTTCCTAAATATGTCTGTGAAGAGCAGATAGGGAGGATCTGGCTCGTGGTCATTTTCAACTGCTCTAATCTCCTAATCTGTTGTGTGTTGGGGCTTGAGGACAAGCTGTCAATCCGCTGAAATGCATTGTGGGAGAACTTTAAATAGACTGAAGCAATAACCAGATTACAATTAATTTTATCTCTCAGAACCCAACATTACTGCTCACAGTACATATTTGGAGAACCCTAGTGAATCATTTGAACTGATGTGAATAATACACCTTGGTTCATCTTAAAGGGTCCTTATGATCTGTTTGTTTATTATGATTTATGTGAGCTTTTTATAAAGCAGAGCAGCCATTTTATGTTCTTCAACCAGCATCTGTAATACAAGGACAGCAAAGGAGGGGGTATTATGTGCTTCTACTTTTTGTGTTCACAAAATTGTAAGGCAGCTCTCTTCCTCCTATAATCAGCTGCCTCTCATCCATGCATGCTAGCTTCTCACTTTTCTCTGCACAGGAGCAGTTGCCCTGGCTACCCAGAACAAAATGGCTGCCCTGCTGACAAATGATCCAACAGTGTGGTCCACTCTGCATCTCTAAGCAGGTCGAAACGTCTGCTGATGAAGGAGATCAGCTGGAGCTGAATTCCAAATATAGGAGACTCCAGCTGTGGAAAGTGTCCTAACTTCACCACTTTCTCGATGGGTTGACATGTCGAGGCAAGTCATGTATGTAAACCTGCACACACTCGACAAAACAATCCCATTCATGTCATTTAGTGTTAGCCTGAGGTTGTTTAAGGGATTGGCCAATCGAGGGGAGGGAAGAAAGAGGATGGAAGTTGCAAATGAGAAGTGGTCTCAAAGAAAAGACGTTTCTCCAACTAAAGTCAGTCAATGCAACTGGCTCAAAAAACAATGATCACTTTATCAGGTAAATGTGCAGTCCAGGTTCTCAAGCCATAACTAACCATGTCACTATGTTTTATCTGCTTTATTTGCAGCCAGAATTACCTTTAAAGAAAACCTAAGATCTAAAAGTAAAGAAAAAGTAAGGCTTTATTCCTGATGGTTTAACCTCCTAAAAATCAAATAAAATTAACAGGGTTAATGCTTTGATGCACGAATGGAAATAAATGATAAAGAGATACTGAATCAGACAGACATCTTTATCAAAATAAAAACAAATAATTGGTGTATTTTTAATGAGGTTTTTATACACATTAAAACAATCTTTTAACCAAGAAGTAGATAAAAATGGCTCCAGGGCTGCAGTTCTGCGTCTTTATAAGCGTAGGTGCCATTATCCACAGTCTGGTATTCAGGCTGCACTTATACTGAAAAGCTGCTTACAGAGGACCCATTGTGCAGTGGAGAGCAGGGAGGTAACACATTGATGGCTGGAGCTCACAATCTGCTGCCACTCATTAATATGTCAGGAGAGGACGCAGTAAGAAAGCAGGATAGAGGCTGAACTCGAGCTTGCTTTTCCTGTGAGATATCACCTGTTACTGCTTTATCTCCTTAGTAAGGAAGGAGAGAAGATTCCAGAAGCTCCATATCTGCGGAAACCTTCAGTTTAGATCTAATGATAAAGGCAGGCCAGGAAGCTTAGATAAAGTTTTATGGTATCGATGCTAAAGCTGAAAGCAGGAGCCGTTTTTTAAAGAAAGGACGTAATGCAAAGGCCTGGATCAGAGTGAATCATAGGATGTGTAGTGCTGCAATTACCTTTAAAGGTTAATCAGACAGATACCCCCCAAACATTCAGATCAATTTTTTTTCTCTCCTGTCTGAACCATGACTTTCAAACCTGACCTCTCTCATGTCCCCAAACCCAGACATAATCATTAAAATGCAGACGCCCAGGGTCGACCCCCTTAGCCCAGATTTAGCCAGATCAGCCACTCTTGTCTGATTCTGTTGTTTTCTAAAAAACCTCCCCTCCCCCTAACTTCAACCCATTTTCCTCTTGAAGTTGCACAGCAGGGACCACTGGGGGGAAGGATGTGTCATAACCAGACTACCAAAAAAGGACAGATACAACAGGTTGCATTACAACTTGTAAGTATTATGCAATGATGTATTTCTGCAGATTTTTTTTCCAAAATGCATTAATTTGCCTTTAATGCAAATGCCTTGAAAGACATGAGGTATACAGATCCGATTTTACTGTAAGTTAGAGATTTTACAACATTTGGTGAATATGAGCAAGTTCTCTGAGCGTATCCTCACCACAGTGCCCCACCCCCCAGCCTTCCTCCTTGGTCTGCCCTTGGTGTTTCAAACCTTCCCCCAGCTTCCTATTCCTCCGACACACCCTCTGTGTTTTTCCATTGCGGTGGGTCGATTGGACAGAGATATTGCAGAATATCCAATTATGTGATGTTTGTTCCTCTTTAAACGCCTCTTACTGTGTCTTTTTAGCACCAACTTATCGAGTTTTTCTTGTGCAATAAAACAAACTTTCCTTTTACTAGCAGTTTCAATCACTTCCTCTTCCAGCGGTGTGCCTGGTATTATGACGATGTCACCTTAGATACATCTCTCTGCTGCTTTGAACAAGTCATTCAAATGTTCTACTTCATCACATCACTTGTCTAAAACATGCAGACATAGACAAACTTGTACTGCAACTACAAATATAGGTTAAAATGAACTGGCACAATGTAACAGCACAAAGTTGTCATAAGCTATTTTAACTTGTGAAATGTGACAACATACATTTTACCTTGATGCTTTATAAAGCAAGGAAGGTTATATACCATACACCCACACAATGTGATTTTTTTTTCTGGTATTTTAATGCTTATAATATAAAAGAGTCTGTGTCACATGATTCTACTGCTAAATCTTAAGACTTTCCCATTTCCTGTCTACAGCATGCAGCATGTGTGCACCTTCTTCCATGTGGGATGGCTCATTTCCTAAAAGCGGTGACCGTTTAGCAGAGAATGCTGAGTCATTCTGAATGCTTCTTCTTCTCCCACAAAGCTGTATGTTCAAAGGGGGACACTCATACCAACCAAACCACCATTCAGGGGGGAAAAACTGAGTTAATCTTGAAATAACTCACAATTACACCAGAAAGAATGAGTGACTCGTGTATGCAAATGACCATTAGCAGGACATATATCTGAGAGCCACGTTGTGAAAGCTGTAAAGTGGGAAGCTAAAGCTATATACTTCCCTGATGGTTTATTGCACCACATGTGGGGTGTCTGCTACTATCACAGTCCCAATAAAAAAATACCTCAGTTTTAGAAGTGTTAGTTGAAATACTTCAAAACAAAACTGTATGTTTTGACAGAAATATAAAATTTGCACTTTGTATTAAAAACTATGCCATCTTATTGAGAATGAGGGATCCCACAAAATTTTACTTTCTGTGAGCATAAAAAATATCAATAATCTTTCATCTTGCTGACAGTCCAGCAAAAACTCGCTGGGAAGTGTTATTCACTTTGAGTAACAGAGTAATAAGAAGTTTGAAGGTATTTGTCAGCTGTTAACCTTTTCTAAATAGCTGCTATAAGCTGGATGAGCTAACATGAAGTATTTTTATTAATGAGAATAACCCTCATGAGCATGACAAGCAGAATAAGCCAACATCAGATTTTGAAGAAAATATTCCAAAATAGAAAAGAAAATGTAAAATTGATTGCTTAGATAATTAAATGCATAAATATTCACGAAAGATGATTAAATATATGTAATAAAACAATGCTAATACCTGATTTTGACAGAAATAGAAGCTAGCTAGGTCATAGCTAATGCTAATGTTCTTCCATCTATAACGTTTACTTAAAAAGCTATTTGAACTGAACTGGAGCGGTTCGTGTCTCCGTCTACATCTGATATAAAGCAGGTTGTGATTAAAATGTTGATTAGCATCAGCGGAGCAGCTGTGGGCCTGCTGTGCCCTTCATCATCCTCAAACGATGACCTTCATCCCGCTGCGTCTTCCTGCAAACTGTCACGTGACGCTACGAATATATATGCTAGAATTTTGCATAAAGTGCTTAATACAATCCGGTTTAATGTAGTTAATTTTGCCCAAATGCTTTGAGAAAAAAAAATAAGGCCTCATCAACAGGTCCGTCCAGTGTGTAAAACTGCGGCAGAATTATGCGCCACTGCGCCACTTTTTCCTCCGTCGTAACGATGCACCACAGTGATGTATCACTACGCTTTCTCTCAAGCTAGGCTGAACTAAACCGTTCATATTATTATCTCCTCATCATTCGGGCCGTTAAATCATATGACCGCCGGATCCCATCCATCCCTCCGCTGTAAAACGTCAGACTTTCATCATGAAGGGAACAGAAGGCACGTAGCTTCGTTTATTCACCTCAGCAGCAGCTTTATCACTCGACATGATGCACAACTGTAATAAATGAATAATGTGAAGCTTTTCATCGGCCTCATTCCCCCTTTAAGGAAAGAGTATCCGAATACTTCACAGAGGAAGCTGTGACACAGCGTGAACCGGATTACATAACATGGAGTCCTGTCTACTTCCGCAGATGCAGCCAGGAGAGCTTAAAAAGTCACGATAGTCGCAAAATTTGCAACCCTTTCCGTTTAAAAAGAGCAAGAATTAACAAGAATTTATTTTAAAAGTAAAAGGAATTTCCAAGGTGCTCTTTTCCCCTGCTTTTTTAGAGCCAATGTTACAGGATGCAGCTGTGTCATAAAGTGTCTTCGAGAATAGGAGGCCATTGCGCATCCCCTCCCTTTCTCCCTGCGTTCCTGACGGCATCATTCAGAAGCAGACTGCAAACAGAGCGGCTCAGAAAGAAAATATATATAAAAACACCTAAACTTCACTTCCACTCCCTTCATCTACCACGAATGTCGTCTTTAGACTAAAACACCCGATTAATTAACCTTGAAAAAAGGACGGCAAAAGCAGCAAGGCCATTGTAGCTTCCGTGATGGAGGTACAGCGTCCGCGGGGAAAGCGCTTTAAGTTAATATTTGATGAATGTTTCATAAGAATATCGATATCTATATAGTTTAGACTAATGTTAAGAGCGTAAACGTTATACGGCGGAGCTCTCACTCACCTCACTGCTGATGCTGCTTGAGTCAGTGTGCGCCGCTCGCGGGTCTGACTTCAGGTTTTATAACGCCTGGTCTCCATAGCGACATGACGTCACACCACCGGGATCCATTCTGAACGAGGGACTCCTCACGGCCTCTGAGCTGCTACAGAGCGATGATAACCCAAGTGGTCTGGTTTGTATGGCGTTCACAGAATGTAATCACAAGGAAAAAAAAACAGAGAGATGTGCTTTGATGACATATTATTCAATAAAAAGATCAAAACATACAGATTTGGGCATCTATTAGTTACTTTAACATAATTGTTTTATGCCCTACCATGTTAATAGGTACAAAAAAGGAGTTAAAGTAACTAAATGTGATTAAGTAAATGCAGGAAAAACGGTTGCATAATTTTTTTCAGTGTGTTGCAAATGTTATCACAATTTAAACGTGAAAATCTATTTGCTTTTCTTCCTACTTTACATCCTATATAAGGGCCGTTAGACAGAAAGCTTACGTGAGGCAGGATGCGTACAGTAGTGGTGGGACATGGGAAATCCCTGTGGTGCAACTCACTGCTCTCCACCACTATCATTATGATGATGATGATGAGTGCATCAATTTCAGAGCAAGCTTTATGGTAATATCCTCCCCGCTCATGCCAATAACAAATGTTATTCTTTCATGCAATAAGCTCAGAGCAGTTCAGAGCAGTTTTGAAGCCATTTTCTTGTAAGTTTTGGCGTTGATCTGCCTCGAAGTCATTTTATTGGATCCTTCTGAGGCACTTACTGCCACCTACTGGGCAGTCAGTGTAACTCCATAAAGATTCTCCTCAATGCAGACTACCAAGGGAAGGTGTCTGCAACCTTTAATATCATAAGAGCCATTAATATCATAAGAGTCCAGCTACGTGAAAATCATTTAGAGCCACAAAATGTTAAATAACTTTCTAATAAAACACAACCTATTATATTGGTTAGATACTATAAGATATCTGCTGCCACTTTAAACAACAAACAGTTTATATATATATATATATTTTTTTTTTAAATAAGGAAAAATATAAAACGATTCATAAAGATGAAGCGTGGCTTTTTCTTTTATAGGATATTATTTGATAGTAAAGAAAAAAAAATAATAAAAAAGAAAGAAATAACAGTTTAACACATTTTTGGTTATTTTAATGTGATACTGTTTTGCAAATTTAATTCAAATAGTCTTTACAAAAACAGTTAGACCTTCTAAGACTGAAATGGGTTAGTATAGCACATTAGTTAGTTCTTTATAACATTTTTAACCACTATTAAGAGCCATTGTAAGCCAAGTTAACAACATTTGAAATGACAAATTAAGAATAGGAACTATTTCAGATTCTTCAAAACTTTAGGTATGGATTTTATGTTGGGGAAATTTGACATAAATTGTCTGTCAATTAAAGTGTATGTAATGCATCTATGTTATACTTGAAATTTTGAGAGGGGGAAAAAGGAAGGATGGTAGTCTTTTATTTATAGTGGAGAGGAGGAAGCTCAGGTAGAATGTTAGGAGTAAATCCTAATTGTATGAACATTTAGCCTATTTCCCATCATTACACCCCAAGTTGCCAATGAACATATATTTCAAATAAAAAAAAGGTCCTGCAGGAAAAACAGAGGAATGTGGTACATACATTTACTAAGCTACATTTAGTTGAGATAGTATTAGAGATAAATGTACTTTAGGAGTAGTTGTACATTGCAGTACTTTTTACTTTTACTAAAGCAATATTCTTGTGAGTGTATTACTATTTTTTCTTGAGTAAAAGTTCTGGTTACTCTACCCATAATAAGTAATTTGAGCTATTTGGAGATCAAGTGAATATATAGTAAACAGTAAATAATGTTACTTGAACTTTTTTATCCTTACCCATAATATGCATTAGTTACTTTTATAACTGGTTTTATATGTTCATGTCAAAAATTGATTTGAAAAACTGTATTACCCGCCTAAGTTTACCTGCAATTTTATCATCATGTCATTTTTACTTTGTGTCTAAGCTTTAAAAACATAAAAAATCAGATTTTAAGACCCAACTATTACTCTGCACTTTATCAACCATTTACCCAAGTTTCTTACTATTACTTGAATAAATTCTTGGATAACTACTTTCTACTTTCACTTGAGTAAAAAAATATCCAAGTAGTGCTATTCCTTGTTGAGTAAAGATTTTGGGTACCGTACTCTACCCACCTCTAAGGAAAACCACATGCAGCAAGGGACTGGGAATCTAACCCAGGACCTTCTTGCTTCAAGGTAAAAAAGCTAATAGCTGCACCATTAAGGAGTCTCTTTATAGATTAGGTCAATACATATTATATCAACATGTTTTTCACTTATGATATTGTTCAGCTGAGTAACTATTTAAAATAAATGTGGTGAGAAATTTGTTTTTAACCCTTAAGAATCATGAGAGTCAATAAAAATTATTGTTTGCAGGGATACCTCATGTAGGAAACAATCATCTAAAGGCAAATTATTTAAGTATGATAAGAGGGGGGCTGCACAGTGGTATAGTTTGTAGCATTGTTGCCTAGCAGCAAGAGTGTCCTGGGTATTGATTCCTGGCCCAGGGTCTTTCTGCGTGGATCTTGCATGCTGGATTTTCTCTGGGTACTCCAGTCTAGCAAGTCACAACAGCTGCTATTATGTCAAGGCAGGTGGAAGTAATCCTGCTAAATGCAGGCTACCTTTCTTAAGATGACCATGTGCTTGATTGCAGCTTTTTTTGATCCAGCAAATAATATTGGAATCAACCACATGCCCAAAAAGCCTAAAATACACATATACCAAGCACTTTTACCAAGTGAACACACTATAAAACGGAGTTGTTGTTTTTGTTCTTAAATGAAAAACTATTCATTAGAAAGGTGTAATATGTGTAATTGTAATATGTGAAGATTTAAAAATTGCTAGATTTCTAGAACTTTTTTGCCCTTAAATTCAGGTATGATCTTTCCCTTTTTTTCCGCTATACATCCTGTCTATATTTATACAGATCTAAGACAGACTACAGACTACAGATCAAGATTGGATAAACAAAAATTGCATACTGGTAGTTTCTGGATAAAATGTTGACTAAAATGCACAACTGATTGGTACTTATGACGTACAAGGTGCCTGCACACATATTTGATACCTTTACGTATTTTAAGGGTTAAAATAAGGTGTTCAGCTAATTTAATGCACATAAAAATTTGCTGTATTTGACATGCCTAACTATAACTCACTCTATCTGGAAAGTTAGGATTGTCTGTTAACAAAATATCCTTCATATGCTACAGAGGCTTTATCTTAATATCTGTGTGGTCCAGCTTGCCAATGGCATTAGTATGAACTATAAAAACAGAAATCAATTAGTCTAACTGTTGCAAATTTTCTGTTGTGAGGTATAGCCTAATTAATCTTATGTTCTATATTGAAGAAGCCCTTTGTAATGTTCCTTTTTTTGTGGCCATGGAAGGTATTGAAGACGTGTGTGTGTCCTTTTAACACTTGTGATGCTACAGGAAATAATGTCTTTGTCAAGGTTTTCAGAATCTCCTACTGCCTACAGGAACATAACACTAGCAAAACAATCTGAGCCCAACACCAATCATCTGCCTAACAGTAAATGTATGGCTCGGTTCAGTGTGATACTGAATTTTAGCAGCTGTCTGCACAGGTAGCCGACGTCTTCCCCAGAAAAGCTATAATTCTCAGGCAGGTAACTGTCTGGAAAAATGTAAAGGTGGGAAAGCAATTTTAAAGGAAAGTCTGGCAATAGCTACTTGCCAGACTTTATGAACAAAGCCTTACCTTCTTTACCAGCCATTTATCTATGCAATAGTCTATTAAAGATCTTTCTGTTGCTTAGAATTGATTGACTTTATTCATCTCACAGTGGAGAATTTTACCCGTTACATCAGCTCAAATAGTCAACGGAGAAGAAAGTGCCAAAAGATGCACTGGGTGTCAAATTTAGACAAAAAGGTTATTGCACAGGGTATTAAATAGTGATTGCACATTATATATTGCATAAGTTATTGCCTTTGTATTGTTGCATTGTAGAGTCTCATTGATGAGCTCCTTTTTACAAACAGGGTTTAAAAGTCTAAGAACAGCAGCCATCTTAAAAAACACACTCCAACAGTAAGAATGTACAATTGGAAAATCATACAGTTAATCATGGATAATGATGTTAAAATAATTAAAGAGGGAAAAAAACTCATAGGATATCCACAGAATACCAGCCTTATTCCTTTTCTAAGTAGGACTCTGGTTTTTATTGGGGTATAGAATGTTATCAATGGCGCCATCTCCTGGCCAAACCACACTGTGCAGACAAGATGTAATTAGTCACTGATGACATATCATTGAGGTATATTGAAGCTTGCGGAGTCTTTAGGGACTTATAATTAGACAGATAACATTATATTTAAATCTTATTAAACTTGATAACTAGATTACATCTAAAATACGGCTTATATTGATACTAACAGTTGCAGTTTTACCTGAAGTGTCAAGTAACAAAATAAAAATACTTTGTTAAGTAAGTACACATTTTGGCTAGCTATACTTTACTGAACTAATATTTTTTTTTTTTTGCAACAATCTCTACTATTTACTATTTAAAAATAGACTTGTTAGTTTTGTTTCATTTGAGCTCATGTTAGTTATGGCCTGTTGGTATTTAACAAAATAAAAAACCATCAAAATAATTGGTTTCATCCAGATAATTAGCTTCTTTGTGGTGGATCTTTGTACTGCATCAACGTTCTTTCACCACATTACAACAAGATAATGCAAGGTTAAACTTGACACTCCCACCATGAAGTATCAAATAAAATAAGAAAATTAGGTATAAGCTAATTTAGCATTCAGAAAATGTTCCTTTAATATGATAGTTCAGTAACCAGTATGAAGTTTAAAGCTTCTGTCCTTTACATTTCCTGCATTACTTTCACTTTTAAACTATAAGTAGTCTTAAAAATGGTACTTATACACTTTTACTTCAGTAAAAAGCTTAAGTTGATACTCTAACTTCTACAAAAGTGTTTTAAACAGTAGGATTTACACTTCTTCTTGAGTAATAAACATT